TTAGGCCTTCAGGGAAAACTAAAACGCGCCAGGAACACTCACAGGTGGTGTAATAAGAAGTGAAAATAATTTTGTTGATGTGCTTACAAATTGCACTTACTTTTAAGCATAAACATAAATATTCTTGTAATATTATGGTTAAAAGTGTCTGCCACAAAGGGATTGTGTTGGTATGAATAACGTGAAAACGGCGAATCTTAGGGGAAAAATTAAAGTCACCTTTTTTACGTATTTTGTGCATTAGAATATAAATATGTTACAATGACTTGAAGAAAATGCAGTGGCGTAGGTTTTTTTGTAAAAAAGGGTTGATCCCTGTCCAGTTGTACACCACTGGTTGAACCTTCAAAGCTCATATTTTAGGGAGTGTAAGGTCTACTATCATACATTATCTATACCAAATTTTATTGAGATCGGTTAATAGATTCCGGAGACATAAACAAAAAATCATTTTTTTTAACAGCTTCAACACCCTGTATCTCTAAAACGGAGCTGTTCCAGACCAATGTTTATAAGGCAAACATATTATTTTAAAGAGATCTATCTGCCCTCGAAGTTTCCTGCATAAAATTCGGACCACCCTGTATAGGCGAAATTTCGAAAAACCGACAATTCCCTGTAACACTATAGCAGTTGCGCCCTCTAGCGGTGAAGTTATAAACTTCAAAATATTTTAAATCAATTTCTTTTGGCTGTATTTGTTAATAGATTTTTTACCTCATAATCGTATAGCCCGGGAGCCAGCGCGCATAATGATGTGCTGCACCTTCAACTCGTCAGCTGAGCACTTATACACCGCAAAAACTTCAGCGTACAATTTTTTTCATATAACTGACTACCAAATTTCAGCTTTTTCGGTATCAGTTTACCTAGCGCATATTTTTGACTTGTTTAGGTGAAAAGCTGAGGCATAACCCCCACTCTAAAGTCAGCTGATTGCGTTTTTTCTTTTGTTTATAACATAATTAACTTCTCGACAAAGTCTCAGCTTTTGCGGTATTAGTTTTTTTATTTTATTATTTTACGTGTTTGGGAGGCTGCTGCAGCTACACCCCCCGGAACTGCGCGAGCTGGAGGTCGATTTACTTACTAGTGATACCAAATGAAGCGTAGGAAAAATTTTCGGCTTTTGCCAAATGACTAACTCAAAACGGTCGCTGGCTCCCGGGCTAGTAGCACGTCTAGTTTCCAATATACAGCCGCTAATGGATCACCCTGTATATATATATATATATAAATAAAGCCAAAAATTAGACGGCTGTCTAAGTTAAAAACCATTATCCTTATCCTTGGCTGCATCCCCGTCTAAGAAAGAAATTGCGATTAATTAAAAGCGTAAAATTAATTTCCCATGTTTTTAAAAATCATTTTTCATAGGCAACATTTTTTTTAGAAAATTACTATAAAAGTATTGAATTAAATGAAGCTTATATTAAAATTGTAATAAAACCGTCATTATAAGATATTTATTTATGAAATCTGGCATGAAACCGTTTTAGGGGATGCAGAATCCAGTGCCGTAGATAGATTTTAAATAAAAAAATCGCTAAACAGTTTTTGTAAAATTTGACAGTGAAAAAAATTCATAGTAGGCCTTGAAAATCAAAATTTCACCTTCTAATTTTGCATCATGAGAGTGCTTTTGGAGATCTATCTTTTAAAAAAAATCCGGTTCAAATCGGTCCAGAAACAACTTTTGTACGCGAGTGTTTCCATTTGAAATGGGTCACACTGTATATATATGACTACTAGAACTTTGTTAAGAATTTTAATGTGGGTGGCAAGATAATGTAGACATTTAAAAAATATTTTTTTGTACCCAAGCCGCTCATTTAATCAAAATTCTATAAGAGGTCCAAAAACTTCTAAATGGTATCACCTATCAAATAAAAAATGGTTGTCATTTTTGCCTGAAAGACTAAAAAGTTATGAATGGATATTATCACCAGACATCAATTTTCTAGGTGTTTTAAGTTTTAAACAACATTCTGTATAACACTGAAATGTGTAGATTGAAAGCACACCCCAAAAATAATCAAAATCGAATAATACATATTTGGGTTATTTACAAAATTCAAAAAATTTTCATGAACTTTGAGGCCATCTAGTGGCCAAACGAAGCGATTTTGGATATATGTAGGTGAATTAACCTAAATCTGCCTATTTTGAGTCCACGAATCTGTGGTCTTCCGTTGTACACGTTTCTGTATATGTTCAAAATATAGTACAGTATAAACTTGATTATCCAGAACTCAATGATATGGAACTTTCTATTGATCAGTTTTTTATATTCTAGAATATTTCTATATTTTGTATAAACATTGCATTAAACAAAGAATATTTTATTTGTTTTAAATTGTGTTTTATATCTTTGAACATAATGTCTTAATGTCATAAGGTCTTAAATGAAATACAATACTTATTCTAAGTGTGTATTATATCATTTGGTTGTCTGGATTTGCAGTTATACAGTGTTTCTGAAATAAGGGCGTTGCTTAAAATGGGCGATACAGGGCACGAGAAGAGCAACTGATGGTAGCTTCTGTTTTCAAGAAAATTAACCATAAATGTAAGCCGAGCCTGTGCATCTTGTGCACGGGCATGTCCAGAATGCTTCGGAATCGCTACATGCGTGAAGCACTTCTCTAATTGACTGACGTTCCATGTGACTTCCACAATCAAACAAATCTATTGGTAGGTCAGTATGTCTTGTGTTCTTTAGTTGTGTGTTGCAGTATTACTTAGCAGTCCTATAAAATGTTTTCTGATCAAGAATTAGCAGATATGGTCTTAATATATGGAGAATTTAAATGAGACTTGTCTTTTGTATATGGTAGTGAAGTTTAGACACTAAACAAAACGGAGCAAAAAACGATGGAGGTGTGGGAAAGAATGATATTGCGTAGAATTTATGGAGGAGTTAAAGAAGGGGATATATGGAGAAGGTGGACAAATAAAGAATTGCAAGACTGTTACAACGAACCAAATATAAGAGGTTTAATAAAAGCACAAAGATTACGATAGCTTGGACATGTCCAAAGAATGTCAGAGAATAGAATCATAAAAATGATGTTAACCAGTTCAATAGGAGGAAGGAAAAGAAGAGGAAGACCGAAATCAAGGTGGAAAACAGAGGTGGAAAAGGATTTAGCATTAATGGCAAGCGATGGAAAGAAAGGCCAATAAACAAGAAGTGGAGGGAGGGACCTTCTAGGTCTGTAGAGCTACTATATATATTATCTTTTGTATGCAGTCCATTACTGTAACAGACTACAACCTAACAGTAGAACAGTGCAAAAGGCAGTTCAAAGGTTACATGATAACGGGAATGTCCACCTGATGTATTAAGGTCGTGGACGGAAAGGGCCGCAACATGTTTTCGACAATGAAGACAACTTCATAAACCTCATTTAGAAAGATCCGAGGCACAGTACTCACGACATTGTCCGAGAAGTGGTGTGAAAATGCCGTGTGGCTTGTACTATGGAAAACAATTATTACATTCCTATCATGTACAAAGGGTTCAGGCATTAAGGAGGTTCGACAGATCTCTTGCAGAGCAGGCGATAGGAGAGGGAAGCCTATGCTTATACATGGGAGTTTCGTTATAGTACCAACCTTACATAAACTAATTTGAGTGAACTAAATATAATATATGCGAATGAAATTTATACAACATATATAAGCTCGCATATATTTTTCATGTTTAATGCACGGAAATTATCTTTTTATTTGAATAAAAGTGTCTATTTATTCATTGAGAGCTTGTAAAACTATGGGTGAAATCTGGCAACATTGTACATCAGTATGGTGGTGTGCTTAGAGCACATACTGCAAACATGAATGAACATCCAAGATACAACAGAAAAGTAATGACTGAAAAGCAATATAAAATGGGTATGAAACAGAATGTGGATTGATGAGAAAAAAGTAAAATGTGCAAACCGAGAATCCATATGATAACTGTCAAGAAACTCAGTGTATAGGTGTCGCCTTGTCAATTTGAATGAATTATGTCATTTCAATTGCTTTGAAAACTTCCTTACCATTTTTTTTCGATATTGAACCTCCTTAAATAACAATGATTTTCTGTCTCGTATGGAATTTTGCTATTGATTTCGATATCAAATAGCACAATATCCGGACTTTACAAGCAAGGTGCTTTTTATGGCTGAATGTTGTTTTACTAGAGACGGCATGCTAAGTTTTCACCACAACATTCACTATTAGTGTAATGCAAATCCTGATGTTGTACAGAGATTTCGGTTCCAGCAATGGTTTTCAGTGATCGTATGGTGTGGTGTTTTTGATGACAGATTACTCGGCCCGATAGTGTTATCTGCATGTTTAAATGGTGCAGCTTATTTAGATTTTTTTGTTAGGGGGGTGTATGAAACATAATGTGTACCTACTGAACACCTATTGTCGATGCAGCAGATCTTCAACAGTCTATTTATTATGCAGCTAATAAAATTTGACAAATACCGGAAGTACCTATTTGCATGTATGCGAACTAATTTTGACCGTCGTGTGGAAGCATATTTATTAACCCATGGAAACAACTTTGAACAATTTTTGTAGAGCATATCGTCTGTTGGTAAATCATTCGTTTACTCGTTTAATTTTTGTGTTACTTTTTAACGAGATTTGAATAAATTTCAGCATTTTCGAACACAAAATTTAAACTGTAAAAACCGTCATCAGCACTTTCACACCGCCGCGCGCGGCTGCTTCAATATCAAAGGTACAGCTGGCTGCTTCACCAGGGACGGCTTTAAATTTGTTTAAACCTTTATGTGAAATTTTTTTTCAATGTAAAATGTAATGTTTAGACCATCAGTTGCTTAATAAAAATTATTCATTTTCGTGCCCTCCTATCGCCCTTTTCAAGGAATGAACTTATTTCAGAAATATCCTGTATAGGTATTGTACTTTGTATATTACAATTTTTTCAAATACGTAATGCATACTTTTATTACTAAACATAATTCGTTTCGTAGGTCAACATAAAAAAGTTGAAATTTTCAGAAGAACAAATGAATAAACTTTTAGAAAAAAGAAGAATATTACATCAAGAGATTCGGGGCTTGCAGGAGAAAATTGAAAATTTTGATGCACATAAACCATACACAAAATTTCGTTATTCAGAACCAGAACCAAATTTCAATAAGCACTGTGTCAAAGGTGTTGTATGTCGATTGATAACATGTAGTGATAGTGATACTTGTATAGCTCTTGAAACTGCTGCTGGAGGAAGGGTGAGTTAAGGCCTTCTCTATTTGTGCATGTGAAATAGCTATTACATTTATATAAATAAAACAATTGGTAAAATAATTTTATATTCATATGGCAATTCACTGTAAATAAATGTAAAAATATATAGTGTTGCATATACGGTGCAATGAAAACTATCCACTTCAAATAATTTAGAGGAAAAGAAAACAAAAGGAAAATGTTGTAACATTGGAGGTTTTCGGAAACTATGGTCTGAGATCAGATGGATCACTAACAGCTGTTTTCCAATTTTATGGAAGTGTCTGATTATGAGTACCTAACTATTTCTGAATGGTACAGGGACAAACCATCTGATGTCAAAGTCAAGCATAAATTTTTAATATGTTCTATAATCTAACACAGAACAAATCATGCATTTTTATGTTATTAAATGGGCAAGTTTATTGTAAGGTTAAATAAAGTAAATCATCTATTTATCCTACTATTGAGTCGAGTTGAAAGGATCGGATTGATTAAAATCTGATTAATTTAATCTCTTTTCAAACAATTTTTAACATAAATGGTTTGCTTTCCAAATGACGAGATCACTGATCTTAATAATGGGATTAATACATTCAATACAGTCATTGTTTCTGAAAAGGATTTTATTTTGGGATAACTTTTGAGCAATGTAACCAGCCTGGTCTTTAAGGGCGCCGTTTTATAGACAAGAAATTGCACTTTTGGTAAGACAGCGATAGCATCTGATAGATAGAAGAAAATCCATCCAAGAAGTGGCGGTCTCTACTAACGTAATGCCAAACTAGAACAACTTCGTAATACCACATAGCAATTGACGTAAAGATTTCTTTAATCGGTAACTATATATTCTCAGAATATTGGCAAGCCTATTATCGTCCAGAGCCGCATTAGGGAAAATATGTGCAATGAACAAGAATTGTCAAATAATTTTAATATTTGCACAAAAAAATAATATAATAACCTACAGTGTTTTAATAAAATATTCGATATGGAAACAAAGGAATACTATACTTGATATTATCAAAAATTTAAACATTTATTACCAAATAACTTTTTTGACAAAATCTTCAAGTTCCCCAGATTCTTTATTACTGGGCATGTCGAATGTAAAATAATAATTAGATGATCATTTTATACCTTTAATGTTCTATATATTTCAATTTCATTGAACAGACATATTTGTGAAATATTTGTGATTATCATTATGTTGGAAATATGGAAACATTGTGGTAAAGACAGTTTTAATGATTTTAAATAACAATGCAACTGTATTCAAGACAATTAAAATGTACAGAAAGATTTCATTATTTTTCTTAAATATACATATATACCTATAACCTATATAGATAAAATATGTTATGAATTATAATTAATGTAGCATTAAACACCCTGAACCTATTGGGAAACATAAAATAGGAGAAAAATAGAAAGAAAAAAAAAACAAAATAATTTATCAGATCCTTTGACCACAAAAGTGAAATGACAGACAAAAAAGTCGGTAGCGTTTCTTAATTACAGCCAATAAAAGGGTTCCGCCGTAAACATCGTAGCGGTCGGTGAGTGCAAGCGAGATGGGTTAAGGCTTGCAAACGCGCAGGGGGCGGAGAAGGATATATTATTCGATTTAATACATTGCACGCATGTTTAGTGGCTCTGTAAATAGATTTGTAAGAAAATAAATATAAGCAAACATATATTTTATTGAAACTTAACATTCAGTAATAAGAAAACTAAACATTATACACTTTGAAATAAAAAATATGAAAATTTTGCCGCTTTGAGGGACACTTTGCTTTAATCGGAAGTGTATACACATTTCATTCTTTTCTAATGGCGTGTCTATAAACTTGTCATGCTGCATGACGGCTTAATAAAGCTTTTTATTTTCGTGGTATTCAAAAAACGTGGCGGAAGATTAACGAGCATGCGTTGTATTGCTTAACATTTTAATTAACATTGATAAAATATTAAATCAAATGTAGAGCTTTCTTATATACAGTGTGTCTCATAATTAGTGTCCAATAATAATTTATCACTTGATTATATAGCCAAAAATAAGTATATTTTTTTAAATAAACATGGGTCGGGAGATGCTTTCTAAGGGATCTACGCCTCCTAAATGGGGGCCTCAAAAAATCATTTTTTTAAAATATTTTCGAAACAGGTTCATGGAAAATTATGAATTTTGACACAATTAACGTTCATTAAAAGATCATCATAAAATTTTAGTCATCGGCTAAAATTTGCCCCTATTTTTTAACTTCTCGAAATTTTCAAATTCAGATGCCAACATATGATAGATCTTCATTTCCTTTACAAAAGAGGTACTCTTTATTTCTTTGGATAAAATGCTCCATTTCCGAGAAAAACGGATTGAAGCAATTCATTACATTACCTTGATAAAATTCAAAAAATTTGTCTTGGATGGTTAAAATGGGCACATGTACCATTATGAACTTTCATATGTCATCATATACAACGAGAAAAGTGCTTATGGGCCGTCCCGAGCAGGGGGGGTGGGCGCAATCTGGTAAAATTTTTCTCAAATTTTGTACATGTTGCTATTTGTTGCTATAAAATTTGATTGATGTGAGTTTTCTATGAAAAAATTGTGATGTTGTTTTGATCTGAATTTGAAAATTTCGGCAAGCAAAAAAATAGGGGCAAATTTTAGCCGACGACTAAAATGTCGCCATGTTTATTTGAAAAAATATTCTTATTTTTGGCAATATAATCAAGTGGTAAATTATTGGACACTAATTTTGAGACACCCTGTATATAAGAAAACTCTACATTTGATTAATATTTTGTCAAAAATGATAATTATATAATGTTAAGCAATATTAGTATATTAACGCACGCTCGTTAATCTGCCGCTACGTTTTTTTGAATGCCACGAAAATAAAAAGCTTTATTAGGCCGTCATGCAGGATTGTTAAAATAAACAATGTTTAGAAAAAAATACATAGGTATGCTGGAAGTATGGCTTTCGTAATGGTATAAGTTTTAACTTATTTTAGATAGACGATTATAAGTATAAGCAAAAAATGCAACATGACAAGTTTATAGACACGCCATTAGAAAAGAATGAAATGTGTAGACACTTCCGATTAATACAAAGTGTCCCTTAAGGGCGTTTTCACATATACCGACACCGGCACGACATCAGCACAGCACCGATAGGCCGTTTTCACATTTACCGACACGACAACGACAACGATGACGGTGGATGCATAATCTCATATAAATAAATGGTCATGTTTTCACACTTGCCGATATATCGGTGTCGTGTCGTGACAGGCAACGACGTGTCGGTGAGCAGCAGTCACCACACTAATGTCGTCGCCGTACATGTATATTTCAAAGAAGCTTTGTGGTTACAACCTCGCGTGACGTTCCCAAAATTGTTAATATCTTTTTTATTCCACACGCCCGACTTTACTCCCACAATTAAACACAGTATACAGAAAAGTTTTTTTAAATAAACACTTTCACACAACCATTTATACTCCGTTTATTACAAATTCTGAAAAAGATCCAAAGATAGATATAAATGAGTATTCAATTAGAGAAGAATTTCTAGCAAAGGCTTTTGAAGATTATACTAAAATTCAGAACGCAATCGAGAACGAGGACGAGTCTCAAGCCGACGATAGAATCGTTGTAGAGTCACGTTATTTAACTATTGCTGCGAAATTAAAGAAAATAATAACTAGTTTAGCTAACAAGGGTCTTGTAAATGCCGATTCCGCAAGTAGCAGCCACACTTGTCTTAATTCTCATTCTCGCAATCAAGTTAATCTTCCTAAAGTTAATTTGCCCACTTTTAGCGGTAAATATGATGACTGGCCCGCATTCATAGATTTGTTTACTGTATCAGTTGACAGAAATGAACACATAAGTACCACTCAGAAATTTATTTATCTGAAGACTCATTTGACTGAAGAACCACTCTCAATAATAAATGAAATGCGCGTAACAGACGAAAATTATGAGAAGGCCTTAGGTTTATTAAAACGCAGATACGACAAAAAATTAGTCATAATAAATTCACACATAAAAAGTTTATTAGATGTATCGCCAGTAACAAACGGAAACGCAACTAATTTAAGAATTTGTAGCACACGTTAGGCAACATGTTAACTCTTTAGAAACTTTAGAAGTTCCCATAGAACACTGGGATTTAATACTAATTCTCGTTCTTTCACACAAACTAGACATTCGTACACAACAGGCGTTTGAGTTAGAGAAAGAATCTGATGATCAACCAAAATTAGAAGAGTTTTTAGGATTTCCCGAAAAAAGAAGCGGTGCACTAGAAAACGTATCACACACTGATCTTAGAAATAAGTTGCGTGTAACACATGTCGCGAACAACCTTTCAAACAATTTTACGTCAAATTTGAAATGCATGTTTTGCAAATTAAAAAACCACACGCTGTACAAATGTTTACAGTTTAAAAATTGTTCAGATACGGAAAAAAGAAAATTTGTACAAGACCACAATTTATGTTTTAACTATTTAGGAACTCGTCACACAGCGATCAATTGTAGCTCAATTGGTTGCAAAGTATGTGGAAAAAGGCATCACACGTTTTTGCACGGAATATCTATGTTGAAAAAAGAAAGTGACACATCAAATACAAGCACACTCGCTAGTACCACGGATAATAATGAGACAGCGTCTCCAACGGAAGCGTCCACGGTTGAATCTTCCGTCACATCTGCTGTTACAGAACATCCGACATTAGCTGCGCAGTCAAATCATTCTCAAATTCTATTAGCGACAGCAAGAGTATTATTAGTTACCAATGCAGGTGTTAAATTGGAAGCGCGGGCATTATTAGATGCAGCTTCACAAACCACATTCATAACCACTGATTTATTTAAGCGACTTAAGGTTAATGGCTATAAGAAAATCATTAATATACAAGGCATATTAAATATCGCAGCAAATACCAATTTAATGGTAGATTTAAAGATTCAGTCTCAAGTAATTAAT